CCCCCCGGGACAAGCGCAAGCGTTATCACAACTCAAAATACAGTTTTCCAGCACTTGTTCCTGTGCCAATGCCTGAAAATGTGCAGTTAATCACCAGTTAATCACTGGTGGTTGATTCAGTCACTTGTTCATTCCATGCATACTGAACATTAAAATGACATATATTTTCCATATCTTAGACATTTCAGCTCCAGATGCAAAGTCCATCAGGAAATATGATCCCACCAAACAACACTGGATCAGTTACACAAAAGATACAAGTCAATAACCCACAACAGGTCTGTACACCATTATTTATTTTGATTTATGTACGTGGATCTGCCTAAAGGGGACGACATAGCTCTAAGATAAAAAAATCTATAGTATTGAATACAGGTAAATATAACCACAGGAAGCCCAAAACAGGAAAAGAATCAGCTACCCACTTCAAACGCTTTTAAAGTTTTGCTAAATCCCTACTTGTCGCTTTACCATACCCAGTAGGGAGGGGAGGGGGGGGGGGGGGGGGGGGAGGATGGCAGATGTGACAACTGTAACGCAATTAATCCATTCAGTGATTTTTTGAAACTTGCGCACTTATTTGAACATACCCACACAAGACCCAACCAACCATAGCACAACCACGCCCTAATAAAAAAATTTGACCACAACAAGTTTAAAATAATTTCTCAACCCCTTTTCGATTTTTAATATAGGTTTTTTTTAATAAGTTCATTTTCAAAAATATAAATTGTTTTGTTAAGCTAATTTTTCTCGGAGAAAAATCCAAGCTGCAGGCGTTCTGATAACTCACCAAGCACGAAAACACCTAATGAGTTTATTTTTATTTGACCCTCTCATTTCCTGCACTTTTGATGCTTCCTAAAGTTATTGTTATATTAAGAGTTGTTGTTGAATATTTAGTAACTGGTTTTGTTCTGGTTAATTCTGGCCAGAACTCTGGTTGCCTTGAAGGCTCCTGCATAAATTTGACAACTTGGTAGAAAAACAATTATCAATTTTGAAGCCAGTGGAAGAAGCGGCATTCTGTGGAACCACTGTTAATTCCCCCTTTTTTTTCCCTGTTTGTTTTAGGTTTCGGGGTTTTTTCACACTTTTTCATTCATTCATTTTTCACAAAGCTTCGTCTACTATTTCTAAAATAAGTTTTAGTTTCTTCTCTTCAAATATTTCATTTCTCAAAAGAAAATATTAAGCATTTTTCTTATTTTATTCCGATTTCTTCACTTTCAAATTACCATTACTTTGAGCTTTTATCTCAAAGCTAAAAAAAGAAAGAACGAAAAAAGTTTTTTTAGTTTGGTTTTTGACAAAATGTCGATCTTTTTCTTGGAATTAAAAAAAAAAGTACTTCCATCCTCGATCCTTGCTGCTAATATATTAGTCATTCTAAAAGCACAAACGTAAGTTAACAGTGATGTATGATGTCTGCGAATTCTCTCTATTCATACGAGAAAAATGATAACCACAAATAGTCCAGCACCGTAGCATGCCATGCATGAATATTTAATACCATATAAGTTATTGGAATTGCATACTCCCTGGTAGTCTCTTTAAACATCTAATATTGGAACAAATCATCGCAATGTCTATATATCCATGTTTCAACCCCCCCCCCCCCCCCACTCCTCTCAATTATCTAATTGTCCATCCCTAAAGGCCTAAAGGAAAAGGCTTTCACTTGTTTTTGATGTCATAACTTAATCATACCATACTGCGTAGACCCTCCCTTGTCGGTATTAACAAAACCTCGTGTTTACAGTGTTTGGTTCGTAATGATATATACCCTAGCTATTATTATATCCATGTATATATTATTGCTATCGTGATTAGCTTTAGTTTAAACATACGAAGTTCCCAGGCGATTCTTATTATGGTCAGTATTTGGTAAGATAGTGTCTAGTGGTGAAAATGCGGCTCTATTGATCTTGGTGGAGGTCGTCATGTTTAAATGCTCGCTCGTACTGAGTGTAGGTGTTCCTTTGAGTCAGTTATTTGTTAAACACACGTGGTCAACAAAGGGGAACCGGTAAAATATCTGATTGGCGTGTTAATGTCACTGTCTGGGGAAAATGCTAATAGTCACCTTTTTGTGACTATTTCTTACTTTTTCTTCCACACTATATTAATGTCTAATTTGACAACGTTGATAGTTCCTTTCTTGTTCTTTACTTGTAGCTATAGCCGTGCATAGCGCTTCTCTAGCACTCCTATTCTTAGGAGATATTGAATAAATTTCGGATATTATARACGATTGGGAGGACTTAAAGATTGCGTGCTTATGAAAAACGCGCTAGGAGGCTCAAGGGCATTGATTGCCAAAACAAGCACCTACTATACTACCGATGCCTCATTATTCGATATTACTTTTTGAGTATGCTTTATCTGGATATTAGTTCTTCTTTTTCAATGTTGCTATTCAATGCCTTGGATAAAGCCAGTTGGAATACATCTGCCCAAATCTGACTTTACTCAATTTTACTTTTTTCTCTTTTCTTTTTCTTTATTATTTCACTACTTTTCAAGCCCTTTACACACCTATCCAAATATTTTTGAAAACTCAATTTTTCGAAAACGAAAACGTGTGGACGGGCGAAAATGATTCAAAAACACCTATATAGGAGAAAATTTTCTTTGTGGTTTGGCCTTGAAAACGCAAAGCGCTACTTGTGCACGAGAATTTTTTTCGGAAAGAAATATAACATTCTGTTTTCAAAAATATCCGTATTCAAATGGATGGGGCTCAGTTCTAAATTGTATCTACTTGTACTAAAGAACTGCAGTATGTCTGTTATACAACTATCTTTATTCTCTCAAGTATTAACGTGTTTTTAGAGCTCGCAAAATAAATGCTTGAAGAAACAAAAATCGCATCTTGAACTTTTTTCTCGATTCTTTACTTATCTATCTCTCGCTCGCTCGCTCGCTTTATCTAGAACTTTATTCCCTTATATCTTGGTCGTCATTCATGCACGTCAAATGCGCTGAACACGAAAACATTGCGTGAGTGGGTCAGTTTTGTTTACGTTTTGAAGAAAAAGATACTACAATAACATATCGCCCCTTTCCTTTTGTCGGCGCAACAGAAACATGTTTTCTAGCTTGTACCTTGACAATGATTCTACCGCAAAGCCTCTTCTAGACAATGACTAACCACAAGTAGGGACGTGATCGATCGATGTTTTGTTGTCACCGTTTACCGCCTAACTGGTGTCGCATTGAAACCCAACTTGGTAATAATTAGTAACGAAGTCTCTAGATGTCAATAGCCACAAGTTTTACTAGATTGATCGATGTTTCTAGTGACCGTGTCCCACCAACCCCTAAGCACTGGTGGTGTATTGAAACTTCTCGTTGACAAGTTGGATTCACTACAGGTGCATGTCAAATAGAACAATCGAGCAATCAATCTGTTATCTTTTACCAGACAGGTTTTTTTTCTTGTACATTGTTATATACCCTTTGATATCATTGCGACCCCTTTAGAGCTAAACACATGAAGAATTAGCCTATTTATATTCTCTCTAGGTATATGTTATTCTTATATTTTTTTTCGTTTTTCTCCTCGTAATATTATCTAATAAAATAATTATTCCAAGATTTCATTTTATTTTTTTTCGATTTTGTTTTCATTAATATCCCCTCTTGGTATATGTTATTGTTTTTCGTTTTTCTCCTCATAATATTATCTTCGTTCAATTTTATAGTTATTCCAATATTTTATTTTGTATTTCTTAGCGTTATTCGAATATTTGTTAGAGCTAAACAATCATGAAAATATGCAATTAAAAAAGCATAAGAATTCATTTTGTTTAAGTTTTATTCGATTTTGGAAATGGGTATTAGACATTAGGAGAAAATAATTCCATTTTTTTTTTCTTAATTGGACTATTAGACACTTCTACTTTATTATATTCTACTTTATATTGTTTTTCTTCGCCCTACTTATTGCTTTTTTAATCCAAGTACAACAAACGAGATTTTTAATTTTCTCTTCCGGGTTTTTCTCTCTCTTTTTTTTTTTCTGGTTTTTTTTTTTTTTTTCCCTTATCATCATTTATTTTATTTTATCTTCCCCCGCTGTGGTACTTACAATAAATTTCGCTCAACTCAATTCCATTTCTATAAAATAAAACAATATTTCGAAATAAAAAAATTCAACTTTTAACATATTTTTACCCAAATCAATTCGTCAAAACCTTGTTCCCAGTAGCGACGGAAGACGACGCAAGCATAAGCACGAGTGCAAGCCGACACAAGAAAAACAAAATATTCCGTTCTCTTGCGCTTGCGCTTGCGTCGATTCTTTTCATAGTAAGAACATGCACTACCCAGGCGTTGCGTCTGCTTGCATCGCTAGCGTAAGAACCAAGCTTTATTTGCATTCATTAAATTGTTGCCCGATTTTGTTGGCCATATGCGATCACACCCTTTATCGGCTTTTTGTCACTTCAACAATCCCTATCATCCGATGAGGAATTAACTTTGTTTTTCTTTTTCCCGCAGCAAAAATAAAAATTTTTTTTTTGCCATTTTTAGCGAGGACCACGGCGGGTTAGCTACATGCCTATCAAGTATTAGTCAAATCCAACTAGCTTCCATTATCAATGCTGCGTTCTGATTGGACGAGCTACTACCAGGCTATATGCAATAATATCCTACTAATAGTAGCGAAAAGTGCAGGCTTTAAAAATTAAAATATCAAATTTAACTTTCATTCAAAATTTGTTTGCATCTATATGTTTGACCGACTAGTTGGATTTGACTAAAACAATTAGTCCTCTTGTCCTCATGGCCTATGAGTCAACAGTCCATACCTCGAGGACTAAATACCTAAATACCCCTGCCAAAAGGAGGCGGTTATTTTAAATTAGATAAGATAAGTTAGTTGATGAAATTTGGCCAAAAAAGTGGAATTGCGATTGTTTTGTAGGCTGGTCTTCTTACCCTGTAGATATCAAAGGACGTGTTCATCAATATCTCTATAATAACCCAACCAACAGCTTTCTAATCTCGTCAGTCTGTGTCAATCGACCTGTTACCCTTTGAAGGCTTTAGGTTTAACACTGCAATGGTCTTACTGAATTGATCGATAAATTGGATCTTTGGATAATCACACAACCATCATTGAAACATCTTGCTTGATTGAACCCTGAAACAACCTCTGGGCTGATCTAAGTCGGGGAATGGCTAACTCACAGATAGAACCCTGAAACAACCTCTGTGCTGATTTGTCAGGGCATGGCTAACTCACAGATTGAACCCTGAAACAACCTCTGTGCTGATTTGTCAGGTCATGGCTAACTCACAGATTGAACCCTGAAACAACCTCTGGGCTGATCTAAGTCAGGTCATGGCTAACTCACAGATAGAACCCTGAAACGACCTCTGTGCTGATTTGTCAGGGCATGGCTAACTCACAGATAGAACCCTGAAACAACCTCTGGGCTGATCTAAGTCAGGTCATGGCTAACTCACAGATAGAACCCTGAAACAACCTCTGGGCTGATTTGTCAGGGCATGGCTAACTCACGTATCGAAATATTAAATTTGATTCAAACATTTTTTAAATGCGATTGCTCATGCTTATTTGAAGCCTAACAAAAAGCTCTTTCGTTTTTACGAATATGGTTTTAATCTTTGATAAAAATCTTTGTAAACGATAAAAAGGGCGTTAGGTATCCAAGGCAGTGCAACCATAGTTAATAGATAGTGCAACGAAAAACTCAAATATGCACTGCCAACGATACTTCTGGTGCGTTAGTAGCGTAACTTTGGGAAAGAACTCACAAAAGAACTCAATCAAATTAGCGTCTGAAGAAAATGGATTCAGCGCAAAGTCAAATCAAAGATTTTATTTCATTTTCAAGTCACGTTCCACCATTGTCTGTCACTGTTTCATATTCGAGTACCGGTTATAATTTACGATGTTGATTTATTTTTATTACAAACAATAACTACGCGTTACATTTACTATTACGTCCACACGTATTCAGATGTTTTAAAAAACGCACCTTTTTGGGTTTCGTTTTCCAAAAACATCGTGCATGCATTGCGTTTTGGCATTATTTTTGGCCGTCCACACGTTTCTGTTTTCGACAAATTGCGATTTAAATCGGTGATTTGTTTTAGCTACTTGTAAAGAACTGAATGAAACAATGTGTAACCAGTGTGTTACGAAATGCAGTTTTATTACGATCTCTCGAAACAGGTTGTAGAAAGTTTGTTTGCTCACCAGTATATTTCACCCATGGGAATCAAGATGTTMWTTCATTTACCCTCAGTGAATTAATGAGCACGTGATTACTGAGCTGCAAAGGGCCTATCCTCAAAGAAAATTACGCTTTCAAACGATTATCCGTATTCGTGCGGACGTGGCTTCAAAGTCTATCAAACAAAGTGTGCGGTGCCCCTAATCGACCACATAATTACTGCGGTTGAAAATGAATCCATTCAGATTCTAGGCCGGTCTTACCAATTTCACATCATTCATTATTCTCTTTTTAATAATTAATACCATAATCATTTCTTTTATTGTAATATTTCACATTGATAAACCTGTTTATTCGAATAAATACATCTTAGAAGGATCTTATTTACGTATATCATCTATCACCTTAGATTGGACAGTTTGAAGACGTTAAAAGCTTAAGATTGTGCGATAGAATTTGCTTTATTAGAGTGAACTCACTAGGCCATTTGCAGTTAACGGACACGTGTCTATTCCTGTGAGCAAATTATTTTATTTTGTTTTGAATTGGTGATTCTTTTTAGCTACTTGTAAAGAACTAAATGAAACGATGTGTAACCAGTGTGTTACGAAATGCAGTTTTATTACGATCTCTTGAAACAGGTTGTAGAAAGTTTGTTTGCTCACCAGTATATTTCACCCATGGGAATCAAAATGTTCATTCATTTGCTCACAGTGAATTAATCAGCACGTGATTGCTTAGCTGTAAATGGCCTATTCCATTGTTTTCTTTTGTGTCTATT